CAACCCTGAGCCGGTGAGATTTGAACCGCTGACCTGCTGATCTAGCAGTAGCCTGCAGTGCTGCTTTTAACCACTGCGCCACCTTGGCTCTTGACTGATGACAAATTTGACAATGCCATTCATGGTGTCCAGCTGGTGCTCCAGGTGTTTTGGGACTGCACCCAAGGCTCCTATGACCATTGGTGCTACCTTTGCTTGCTTTCGACATAGTTGTCCTATTTTTATTTGTAGGTCTTTGTGTTTTGTTATCTTCTCCAGTTCTTCCTCTTCTATTCTGCTGTCTCCAGGCACGGTCACATCTACTATCCAGACTTCATTGTTGTTATTTATATTATTAATATTGTTATTATATTTTATATTATATTTTCTTATTTATTCTTATTTTTCCCTCTGGTAGAGTCCCTCTTCCTCTTTGGAGATAGGCAACGTGTTGGATCAGGACCAGAGGGACCTCATTGGAGACTTTTCAAAGGTAATTCCTCCTCCTCTAATCCCTCAACTTCTCCGAGTTAATCACTGGCTTCTCTTCGCAGCCTGCGCCAGGTGATATGTCTGTCTGTCTGTCTGCAAGCAACATTTTTTGTCATGTCTCTGCAGAGTTACCTCTTCCACACCGTTGATGGCAAACATCAGGATTTGAAGTACATCAATCCAGAAATGGTGCGTGACCTCCCTTGGGAGTCCAGGAATCTGTTTTTCTGATGGGAACGGAAAGCTTTCTGGGACGTAAAAAGAAGTGGAAATTTCACATATCCATCTGCATTCATTTTCCCTAATTACTTGAATTTCTTAAATTAATTGCATGATGGCAGTGTTTGGATATCTGAGGGGCTGTCACTCAAAGAAGAGGGGGGTAGCCCATTTTCCAAAGCATCCAGACAAGTAAATTGATCAAGGAGAGATTCAACCTAGAAATAAGGAGAATTTTCTTGACAGTGAGAACAACAAACCCATGGAACAGCTTGCCACCACAACTTCTGGGTGCTCCCATCACTGGAGGCTTTCAAGAAGAGACTGGACAGCACACCTGTCTGGAAGGGCCTAGGGCAGGGGGTTGGACTAGATGACCTCCAAGGTCCCTTCTAGCTCTTTCGTTCTAAGTTTAATTCAATTTGTCAAAGTGCTCAAACTTAATTCTCATCCTTTTTTATTTATTTATTTAGTCTTTTTTTTCTTTTCTTTTTTCAGATTGTCGCCATCCTGAACGGCAACTTCTCCCTCTTCATCACGCAGTGCGTGATCATCGATTGCAGGTTTCCCTACGAGTACGACGGGGGTCACATCAAGGTATGGAGGGGAGATGGACCCTCATCAAGGATCAGCCTCTCTTACAAAGTGGGCGGGGGAAGGATGTCTCTTGTGATCCAGTGGTTGCTGTGACAAAAGTGTTGCCGTATCCGTAAAAGTTGTGTTGTTCCAAAAAGAGCAGAAATGGAAATGTTCTGCTCTGCCCATCAAGTCCCAGAAAGACGGACTTGAATGTCCAGCTTGGTTACTTCGCCCCAAACGAACTCATTGGCCATAGTAATCCAGGCAAGTCCTCAACTTATGTCCATGACTGAGCCCTAAATTTAGTTCGCTGAGCAAGACGGTTCAGGGAAAACTGTTGGAAGGGCTTGCAGATGCTCCACCACTGGAGATTTTTTGGGAAAAGACTGGAGAGCCATCTGCCTGAAATGGTAGAGGGCCTCCTGCTTGAGCATGGGGTTGGACTGGATGACCTTTGAGGTCCCTTCCAATTCTGATTGTATGATTCTGCAAGGGTCTCCTACTTGAACAAGGAGTTGAACTAGATGACCTTCAAGGTCCCTTCCAACTGTGTCCTTCTATGATTGTGTAAGGATCTCCTGCTAGTGCAGGGGGTTGAACGGGGGTTGGACTAGAGGACCTCCATGGTCCCTTCCAACTGTGTCCTTCTATGATT